TTCAAAACCACCAGCTGCTCGGCAGGACACAGATAAAGCTCTCTAGTTTGGTAAAGGTACGGAGTTTGAAAAGCCACAGGGTTAATTCTACTCTGTCCTTAGGGCCACTGTGAGTCAGAATCGACTGGATAAGAGTGTGTGAGAGAGCCAGAGACAGACTGATTACCAAGCACTTACATGCCTACATTAAGTTCCTTCAATTATTTCCACATCTAATTCTTCCTTTTGGCTGTTAATAATCATACTTTCTCACTTGTTTTATTATTTCTATTTACTCCCTTACATCTGAAATCCTTTCTTTGTTGCTATTTTTTTTTCCTATCAACACTGTGTTGTTTGTTTAGTTGGCTCGTGACTCACAGCAACCCATGCACAAGTGAACAAGATATCGCCTGGTTTTGTACCATCGCCATGATCATGGGCTAGTTGGACCTTGGGGCCCAAAGGGTTTTTTTGGTCTGATTTTTGGAAGTAGATCTCCAAACCTCTTTTCCTAGTCATTCTTAGTCTGGAAGCTCCATTGAAACCTGTTTAGCACCACAGCAGCCCTCCAGCCTCCCCTGATAAGATGGAGGGTGGCTGTACTAACTTGATGCACATTGGTTGGGCATCACACACAGGTCTCTTTCATAGTAAGCCAAGACCTCTACCACAGAGCCACCGCCAGTCCTAAGAAAAACTCCTTCTGGGTTCTGTTTGCCTTCAAAGCTTTTATCCTGTCAGCCTCCTGCCTTTCAGTAACAATTCCCCTATGAAACAACTGGCCTACACTCTCTCCTTCAGTTTCTGCATTAACATCTTCCCCTTCATGAATTGTGAACTTCATCTCATTGTCATATAACCTAATTGGTAAATCTAGTGACCTTCGACTCTTCTGTGATTTTGACATTTCTTGACCCTTTAACCTTTCCACCTTTGAGTGGGAATCTCATACTCTATTTTTAGAGCATGCTGTCATCAGAGTGGAAGAAACCCACCTGAATGGGCTAGACTTGAATCTGTTGGATGTCAGCTCACCATCCGTAGTATCAGAGTTCCTTGGGACATACGAATCCCACTAATTATATCAAAGCCCATATTACCACAAAACAAAACAAAAAAAAAACAAACATTTCTTCCATCACTGAGAACACATGGCCCCAACTAACAAAAATTCAAAGCAGATTATAATTTGGTTTTTAAAGGGTTCAATTATTTTCTTCTTCATTTATTTTTAATTACAAGACAATCCAGCTTTTCCCCCCTGACTTTTTCAAATACCTTCTCATCTTCTGACCCTCTAAACCTGAAAATCATCTGAGATTCTTTCCTTGTCTTTATTAAAAGACCCTAAATCCAGTTCTTCTGGCTTGTCTCTTTCTGTGTTCTAATGGAACCATTCTTTTCCCAGGACAGCCCTGGCTGGAAGGCTCTGCACACTATTTAGTGCTGCATTTCCCCCGTGCTAAAGCCCCATCAGCTGCGGCTCATTCATCCCTCCCATTGACTCGCCCGTTCCTTCCCTTCTCACTGCCATCACCTTGGCTGAGGCTCAGAGCCCATCATGCCTGAATTATTGCAACTCCCTCCTAAGTAGTCTTTCTACCTCTAGTCATTCTCTTCTCTTCAATTCACCCAGTCTATCACTGCTCGACTGCTTGTCAGGAATCAGGGCTTTGAAGACACCCTCCCCTACCCACAGCTCCGGCTCTCCAGGATGCTTCGTGGCCTTCTGAGGCAAAGCTCTCGCAGAGAGCTCGCAGCTGGTCTCGCCTGCGTTATCTGCCCCTCCTCTCGTGCAGGCAGACCGGTTACTTTTCTCTCTGTTTTCTGTCTTTGTCCTGCCGGGTGAGATGCGTTTCCACTCCTCGCTTATGCTCCTGAATATTCGAGGCTGAGCTCCATGTCTACACTTTTAATGGACTCTCTTCTTTGGCATCCTTTGGTCTCAAATGTTCCTCTTTTGACTGTCAACTGTTTACCTCACTTCTGTGGCTTTTATCTCATGTCAGTATGGCTTGTTATTCACGTATGTTTTATCTTTGACCATTTCAGCCCTTAGGCGGTGAACTGGGAAGCAGTGGTGGTTAGTGGGAGAATTCGCTTCCTAAGCGAGACCTCCTGTTTGGATTCCCATCCACTTCATGCAAAACTTCTACCAATCTATCCCTGGAAGCTTGTGTGTTGCTTTGATGTTGAACGGGTTTCAGCGGAGATTCCAGGAGCAAAAATGGCTAGGAAGAAAGGCCTGGCGGTCCACTTCTAAAATATAAATCAATGAAAACCCCGGGGGAGCACAAAAGTTTGACCCCGTTGTACACGGAGCCACCGTGATTGGTGGTGGTTGTTTTGCCCCCTGTTGATAGTTCTCAAGTTGCTCCTATCGATTTCCAGATAAAGTGTAAACTCTTCAGTTTGGTATTTTCATCCCATGTCTTCACCACTATTCTGTGCACACAGAAACCCCAGTCATTACAATCTCCCTGCAGTTCCGCCAGCACCCATCTGTGTCTCTGCCTGTTGGCCTTTGCCCAGTTAGTCTGCTGAAATGTCTTACCTCACTAATTTACGGACTGTGTCTTACATCCCTAATTTCAGGACTCGGCTCAAGACGCTGTCCTCGATGCCCTTGTCTGTGAACACTTCCATCATGCTTCCTTGGGACCCAATGATACTGCACTGCCCATGGCCATCTAAGGAGCCCCGGTGGTGATATGGGTTAGGTGCTGGGTTACGAACTTCAGAATTGGCAGTTAAGACCCCCAGCTACTTTGTGCGAGAAAGATGAGGTTATCTGCCCCGTTAAAGATTTACAGCCTTAGCAACCCCACCGGGCAGTTCTGCTCTGCCTTTTGGGTCACTATGAGTTGGAATCAACTTGTTGGCAATGGGTTTTTTTGTTGTTGTTGTTGTTCATCTGCTGACTTCTTTTTCTTAGTGGACCTTGCATTTCTTAGGGACTGGGGCACTTTCTTTATTCCTACCTGCATTCCTAATAGCTGGCCAAAAGGCTGTTGGGATAACGACCTGAGGCAAAAAGGCCAATGGGGAGGGGCAGCTGATTATGTAGGTAACTGGCATTTACTTCAGTGAGTTTACCATGATTCAGGGTTTGGCTTCCAGCCTAAAGGCTTGGGAAGGCCACATTCCATTGTGAGAGTAGAACTGCCTGATTGTGAGAGTAGAATTGCCTGAACCAAGCTCATCGATGTTTAACTCGATCCAAAGAACATGCCTGTGGACTAGTGAGTCTTGAGCAAGATGACTGGACTGTTGCTGGCATCCACCTGGGCATTCTCACATTGCCTGCTTGCCACACAGAAAGTCCCTCCGGATACATGTGCAGCCCATCTCTCCCCGCCTCCCGAGCCCATCACGTTGTGAATTGTGTATGGGCTTTATGAGAACAAGCATCTTCATTTCCAAATTCGGAGGAAGAGGTGGGAGCACTTGCATGTAGCTTCCCTGTACTGATTAATCTGCCACTTCGTCTGTAATAAGCCTCTGTTGTGACAAGAACAGGTCGTTGCTGACTGAATAGATGAATGCCGATCACGCTGCAAACTCTGGTTGCTTGGATGGAAAGTGTAACCGTAGTTGTATAGTAGCATGCAGGTATAATCCAGATAGCTTCATTATTCGAAATCATATTTCTCCTTAAAATCTCCTTTTAACTTTCTTACACATTTCTAACTGTTTTTCCTCTCATCCTTCGTAGCCATCATGTTAGAACTCACCACCCACCGGGCTTTGAGAACCTAACCAGCACGGTGCGGCTTGAGCTTTCGCCACTGCTTTCTCTGGCTTCCTAGTCTGCCACTGCTGCTCTGACTGCTGCTGCCGCCAGCCATACCTCTTCCCCAGTTCTCCTCCCCCCTGCAGGAGTCTTGTTTCTCCTCCTTTCTAATGCAGGCTGTGCCCCCCTCCCGGGGGCTCCCCTTGAAGGTAAGTGGTCCAGCGCAGACTGGCCTCTCAAGCGCTGCGGACATTTCTGCCACTGTATTTTGCACTTGAGCATCTCTGAGCTCCGGTCTCTTCTCAAGATACATCCCAGCGGGAGTCTAAAAGGAACAGCTGCAAGGAAAAATATGGGGACCCACTACCCCTCATCCCAATGCTAATAAAGTCAGCTCCGATGAGGAAAATCGGTCATTTTATAACAAAACACCAAGCAGCTTGTTGGTTGGGCCTGGGACATGCTCACAAAATTAGGCTGTTTTATGAACTGTGTTTTTTCAACAGTTCTATTGGCATATACTTTATGTATCATACTAAAAACTGCTTTACATGGCTTAAAAATTATGCTGCCAATTTCATAGCTTTATCTTTGAAAAAGTTAATAAATATACCTAGTGGTTTTTCTCTCTTATTTTTGCCCTTCTCTCTGGTTTTTCCTAACTAGAACTTTACATGGAAATACATTGTAATTCTCATCAGCAGCCACAAGTCGGTCATTAAGAAACCTTAAGACACTTAAGGCAACCAAAATAATGAAGTACAAATATCTGTTCAAATATGTAGGCACTGACTCAGCGTGTGCACACATCCCTGTGTCAGGGTACCACCAGCATCATCTGGACCCAAACCTATAAGGAGTTTACCATGAAGCAGTCTTCCCCATCTCACAGAGGAAGACACTGAGCTTATGTCGCTTGTCCATGTCCCAGGAGGGCCACAGAGTAGAATTAGAGGATGCCCATGTGTGTCTCCTTTGTGCCTCCTGGGTGAGTCGGCTGCATTTTCAAGAGATGGAACCACAATCTTCTCACTCCAAAGCAGCATGCGACAACATGCAACATTAGCCTGTTTTATAGTTTCCCCCTCTCATTAGGTGTTCTACCTAAGGAAGACAATTTTACTGCAGGATCTTATATGTGCAGATGTGTCTGTGTGTCTTAAACATGTGCTGCCCTCTGAAACATGCTATCTGCTTCAAAGCTCGGTACCGTGAGAAAGAAAGACATCTCTGGAAAGGGGGTAATAAGATAGTCACTAAGTGTGCGTCTGTCCGGTTTGTGTAGGTGAGGAGGACTATGAAGATGGAATAGAAAGGGCATGTGACACCCTCCTCATGTGCATCGTCACCGTCTTGAACCAGGGACTCAGGAATGGTGGAGGTGTGGGAGACGTACTGAGGAGGCCGTCAAAAGATGTAAGTGGAACGAGAGGCCCTTTTCCAAGAGCCATGCAATCACTTTGTAATCCTTTGAACACCGCCTTTGCGATGCGGTTTTTGTTTTCAGGGTGTTACATTGTACCGTAGACTTAAGTACAACAGTGGCCATTAAAACTAATTAATTGCATACTAGGATTACCAAGAAACAGCTAATGTGCTAAAAGTCTGTGCCTGTTAATCGAGTTACCTCGTCTATCCAGGTTTGACCTGTGTGCTGTATTACACCCTGGAAATGATAACCACAGGCTTTGTAGAAGGGTTCAGACATAAATATCCCAAACTAGGCTGCCTCTTGTCTATCAGGTTTCTCAGTCATCACAACCAGGGTACTTGCTGCTTCTGCATAGGAATAGCTTCCATTATTTCTGCATAATGAGTATAAAATTTGAACATATTCTAATAGGAATTCACTTATTAAGGTGACAAGGACGAGCAAAAGGCCTCACTAGCTGCAAAATCTCAGACACCAGGGTCCGGGCTCTAAAATAATCTCCGTTCTGCCACAGGCAAGCTGTGTGATGCTGCCAAGTCGCCTAGCCTTTCATTACCTCGGCCGGCCTTCCGGTGCTCACACAGCTGGACTCAGCGATCTCGAATGTGTCCTGTAGTGTTGTTTGCCCATGGAGATAGGGTGGGGCTGCATGTACTTGACCCTTTGAAGGCAAGAGCACATTCTATTTCAAAAACTGACAAGTCATTAGATCCTCCTTTGCTAATTGCTGACCTTTGGCACGGTGTTCAATGCCTTTAGTGGGGCTTCTGGGCCTAGAGCCACAGAATGTCTTAGGAAAGTGCTTGCGAATGAAAGACGCGTCTCCCAGCGGGGAGTTCGAGCGAAAAGAAGGGGTTCTGAGAATTGACTGAGAAGTGTTTCTCACAATTCCTGAAATCTGGGATAGAAAATGTGTCATATCTGAATGATTATGAAACTTGAAATGCCGTGTCATACCCACTTAGCGAACATCTGTTCCATGCATCTTCAGTGCTAAACAGTGTGCTAGATCAGTAGGTTTGAAAGTGTGTGTATGTATGGATGTATCTAATATTTAATCTGTTATATACAAGTATTACATGTGTCATCTCCCCCCCCCCCACCCTTTTCTTTTCAGGAGCCCTTATTTGCTGCTCGGGTGGTTTATGACCTTCTGTTTTTCTTCATTGTTATCATTATTGTTCTGAACTTGATTTTTGGTGTTATCATCGATACCTTTGCTGATCTCAGAAGTGAAAAACAGAAAAAAGAAGAAATTCTAAAGACAACCTGCTTTATCTGCGGTAAGTGTTCTCAAGATGCTAAATAAAATAATGATGGGGAAAACAGCTCGGCAGAAAGAAAGGGTTGGAATGCCTTATTTGTCAGACTTTTGGAAAAATCATTTCAAAAGGAAGACTGGAGACAACACAAATTATGTGACTGAGCATTAGACTAGAGGCCTCTGCTTCCATAAATAGAGGAGAGCATTAAATGGCAAGGCGATCCTATCATTATTTCTGCAGTTTGTGTGGTTCGTTGGCTACAGAATGTAATCCAAAATGCCCAGAGGGTCCATAAAGTGGCAAGTAAGTTTTTAATTTACTGTGGTAACACATTGATTAAACACTGGAGTGAGTTTATTTTATTTTGTTACATTATTAATCCAGAGACGGTTTTTCTGGAAGCTTGAACCTTGTGCTCACTGATCGCACTCTGCTTTGGATTCTGAAAGGTGCTTTCTTGTACCTTTAAAGCAAACTCTCTTTTTTGCCCTCCTTTCCTTCCTCCCCGGCGTCCCCCTCACTATCTCTCTCCTCCCTTCCGATTGCATGCTCCTCCTCGTCCCTCATCACGCCTCACTGGGCCCCAAGGGCCTTCTCTCTGCTCCATCCTCCCCCGTGGGTCCAGTCTCTGAGTCAGGTTTGTCTGCCCTGGTCTCCTGTCACCCAGGGATCCTTCCCTGCCTCCCGTTGTCGTCAGCTCCAGATGATCGCATCATCCATTTTTCTGTAATGGGCTGAAGACATTTGGGGGAAAGTCTCAAAGCAAGCATAAGAGCTTCACTACATAGTAAGTTTGTATAACGGAAACGGAACCCTGGGTAAATCCCATTCCCTCCTTCATTTGTCCCTGGTTGACTGTCTCATTTCTCTCCAGGGCTTTTTAAAATCCTCCCAACATTTCTCTCACAGTTGGAAGTGTTCCGTGGAATAATGTATACCAATGTGCTAATTCGAGAGAAACCAACGTGCATAAGACACCTTGTTTCTGGGGTGTTCCCAGTTAGTTGTGGGGTACAAGCACAATAAGCACCCTTCATACTTAAAGTACTGCCACCACTCGTCTGCCACTGGCATATGGGAAGCCAAGCCACTGATGTGTCAAATATAAGGTCATGTGTTACTTTAAAGAATAAAATGCTCCCGACCCAAGCCACGGTGTTTTCTTCATCCCACATGCATACCGAAGCTGGAGAGCGACTACGAGGCCAGCAGAAGGGTTTCATTGTGGTGCTGGCAGCGGATAATAACTGTACTGTGGACTGCCGGAAGAACTACGTACAGCTTATAGTGCTTACAAGTGTAACGAGAATGCTCTTCAGAACTGAGGATGGCATGAGTTTGTCTCACATATTTTGGATATGTGGTCAGGAGGCACCAGCTCTTGGAAAAGACATCATGCTTGGTGAAGCAGAGGGGCAGCGATAAAGAGGAAACTCCTCAAGAGGTGGAGTGGCACAGCAGGGGCACGCACAGGGATGCTTGAGGATGGTACAGACGGGGCAGTATTTTGTTCTGTCGTGCATAAGGTGACTGTCCGAGCTGACTCGAAGGCATCCAACAGCAGCGGCTTCCTGCGCTGAGGGTCATGATAGAGTTACTCCGAGGGAACTCAAGTACCCGAAGGAAAGGCATCGCTTCAGGTGGTGGTTCTCGTGGTCAGTGCCCATGGGCTTGGCTCCAACTCCGGCAGGCCCCTTTCCAACAGAACTAACTATCACCCAGCGCGCATCATCTTTACAAACATTGAGATGTTCAAATCCATTGCTGTGGTCACGATCTAGTTAGAGTCCTTCCCATTCAGCGCCACTTGGGGCAGTATTCTGTTGTGTTCCAAAAGGTGCCCATTGGCTACGTTTGGGGACTAAGCCTTTCTTTCTAGTTGGTCTCGGTATCAGAGCTCTACTACAACTTGTCCATCATGAATGGCACTCCTGGTATTTGAACTACCAGTGGCAGAACTTCCAGTGTGAGAGCCACAGGTATGCCTCCATAGAGCAGCAAACTGACAGATGAATTTGGGTTGAGGTGGAAAAGAAAGGCTTCTTAGGATAAATGGTGACTGTGCTCCATCTAAAGGATGAAAAAGAGTTACCCAGATCATGGTGGGTCGAAGCATAAGGGCTAGCGCAAACAAAGTCACAGAGAGGGAAGTAGCACAGGTTGTGGGTGTGCACAATTCAGAGCCGGATCTACAGGAGATGAGATGGGTGAGATGATGCAGGGTCTGTCTGTGTGTTAAGCAGCTTGAACCTGATTCTAGGGAATGATAAAGTGCGATGAGCCATGAGCCTTTTTAAGCAGGTCCACTTTTGTTTTAGGGCATGGTGGAGGTTATGGGGAGGTAAGTCCTCGGGACAATATGGAGGCATCCTAACCAGGAGGAGACCATTGTCACGGTCCAAGTGAAAGGGAATGAAGTCATGGTTCAGGAAAGGTCTGGTAACAATAGGAAGATCAGAGGTCGGGTGACTAGAAGCAGATATAATATAATACACTGATAGCTTGGGTGACTGGGTAGAGGTGTATAATTGAGTTTGAAAATAGAGGAAATGTAATTTAAGGTAAGGATACGTGAAGTTGAGGTTTAGGAATATTGAAAGTGAGGTGTGTGTAGTGAACATACCTGTGAGATCCATTCATGGATGAGAATATGTGAATTTGAGCCTCAGAGACTAAATCTATATTGGAGAAAGTAATTGGGGAATCTTTAGCCTGCTTGTGGTAGTAAGTTCTTGAATGGGAAGGAGAATGCTGGGGTTGGGGAGGGCATGTAGAATGAGAAATGTACAACTGGAAAACACCAGCCCTGGGGAGTTAGAAGCAGAGGAACACACACAAACTACAAACGCCAAGTCAGGAGGGTATAAGGAGAACCAGGAATGTGTGAGGAAGTGAGCGTTTCAAAAAATAGCAGAAACAGCCTTTGGATGGAAGGCATTATCAGCTGTGTCAAAGCCTGGCGACCAGTCCCGTGTTGTGGGTGGATGCTATCCAGCCCCTTTTGACTCACAGTGACAGAAACGTCCCCTTCTTAGTTTTGTTGCAGCGCTGTGTCAATCCACCTTGTTGAGGGTTTCTGTTTTGATGGCCCTCTGCGTAACCAACACAATGTCCTTTTCCAGGGACTGGTCTCTTTTGAGAACGTGCCCCAAAGGATGCGAGACAAATGCTTCTAAGGAGCATTCTGACCGCACTTCTAAAAAACAGATTGGTTTGTTTGGCCAAGGACATAAGCAGTGAAAGAGAGCATTTGCCTTTCTTATTTGGGAGGACTTGAGGTCATTTTCTTGGTGACGTAAGAAAATGTAGCGAATTGTAATATGCTGGGAGGAACTTGCTCCTGGCTACTGAGACAAAAAGAAGAGCTTCCTTCTATGTGTCTCTAGATTAGAAGGGCACCCCAAGAGCACGGTGCTGCCAAGGATGGTGTCAGTCCAAGATCTGGGGGACTTGGGGAAGAGAACAATAAGCCTGGACACGCATGATACTCCTTAAATCTTAGAAAGGAATATTCCTCCACTTTTTAGAGAAGAAAAACGAACCACACCCAAAATATTTGTTAAAAAATTTTTATATCGTTTTATTAGGGGCTCATACAACTCTTATCACAATCCATACATACATCAATTGTGTAAAGCACATTTGTACGTTCATTGCCCTCATCATTCTCAAAACATTTGCTCTCCATGTAAGCCCCTGGCATCAGCTCCTCATTTTTCCCCTCCCTCCCCGCTCCCCCCTCTCTCATGAACCCATGACCATTTATAAATTATTATTTTGTCTTATCTTTCCCTAGCCAACATCTCCCTTCACCCACTTTTCTGTTGTCCATCCCCCAAGGAGGAGGTTATATGTAGATCCTTGTAATTGGTTCCCCCTTTCCAACCTACCCTCTCTCCACCCTCCCAGTATCACCACTCACACCACTGGTCCTGAAGGGATCATCGGCCCTGGATTCCCTGTGTTTCCAGTTCCTTTCTGTACCAGTGTACGTCTTCTGGTCAAGCCAGATTTGTAAGGTAGAATTGGGATCATGATCATGTGGGGGAGGAAGCATATAGGAACTAGAGGAAAGTTGTATGTTTCATCGTTGCTATATCGTACCCTGACTGGCTCGTCTCCTCCCAGAGACCCTTCTGTAAGGGGATGTCCAGTGGCCTACAAATGGGTTTTGGATCTCCACTCCGCACTCCCCCTCTCATTCACAATGATATGAGTTTTTCTTCGGATGATGCCTGAAACCTGATCTCTTCGACACCTTGTGGTCGCACAGTCTAGTGTGCTTCTTCCATGTGGACTTTGTTTCTTCTGACTTAGATGGACGCTTGTTTACCTTCAAGCCTTTAAGACCCCAGACGCTATATCTTTCGATAGCTGGGCACCATCAGCTTTCTTCACAACATTTGCTTATACACCCGCTTTGTCTTCAGCGATTGTGTCAGGAAGGTGAGCATCAAAGAATGCCAATTTAATAGAAGAAAGTATTCTTGCATTGAGAGAGTACTTGAGTGAAGGCCCAATGTTCTTCTGCTACCTTAATACTAAACCTATAAATATATGCACATAGATTTATTTCCCCATCCTCATATATAAATATATTTACATATGTACATGCCTTTTTTAGACCCCTATAAATGCCCTTTGCCTCCTAACTCTTTCCTCTATTTTCTTTGACTTTCTTCTTGCCCCATTCTCATGCTCAGTCTTCATTTGGGTTTCAGTAATTCCTCTTGGTTACATTACCCTTGATCACACTCTACCAGGCCTCCTATACCCTCCTCACTACCGATTTGGATCACTTGTTTTTCCCTTGTCCCTGGGCTTGTTAAAACCACTACCTTTCCCCCAACCTCCCCCTCTCCCATGTACCCCCAGAACTGTCGGTTCTGTTGTTTTCTCCTTCAGATTGTTCATCCAGCCTATCTTATTTAGAGACCTGTGGAGATAATAACATGCACAAAAACAAGACAGAGCAAAACCAAGCAACAATATACAACAAAACAACAACAACACCAAAC